TGTGTGTGTGTGTGTGTGTGTGTGTGTGTGTGTGTGTGTTCTGCAACCTGCATGAAGAAACCAAGAGAATTGAATATGCCTGCAATTCAGGGTTGGTTGCAGTCGGTGCTTGGAGCCAAGGATTTTATCCATTTAATGTTTTCTTTGTTGCTCATCACATCTCAGCTACATTTAAAGAGTAATATATACATCTTTTCCTCTTGCAACTTCCTGATTCTGATCTCTGTGTTCTGCTTGCTTTCACATATATGTTTTACAAGTTCACATCCTCCTTTTTCGTTTCACAGTTGCTGCACTACCTGTGTTCTACTGGGCGCTTGACCATGTTGCCAGGTTCCTAAGGAGTACCTTTGCCCGCTCATCTTTCTACATGTGCTTATTTGGTTAATTTATTATCTCTGGATTTCATTTCTATAGTTTTTTTGCTCGCCTTTCTGTTATCTCGTTATAAGGGGATACTTGGAAGAGCCTTGCCTTTGGTGGAGACAAACAAACAACCCCACGCTCAGCCTCCTTAGCTCAAATGCCGAACTTGCGCGACCTGGGATTCCTTCTGATCATATCGCTCTTCTCGTATGTTGCTCTGACTTTCCTCGGAATCATGGAGACTTTATTTCATCTTAGTTAGTGCACACCTAGCAACCATCAATCTTCAATCTTGAGCTAGCGAGACGCGACCATAGTTATCGGAATAATTCGACGTGTTTTGCTGCATGTTATCTATCAAGCCATAGTTGAGTGTACACCTAGCAACCATCAATCTTCAGCTAGCGGCAATTCCTTCAGCAGCTGCAGCTAGGGGCACTTACTGGTCGCTGCCTCGCCTGTTATCCAGGTGCTGAAGATGATGTACCGTGTGCCTGTGACATCCAGCTACCAGCTGAGCGCGTGGGCGAAGATCGGGCAGACCTTCAACCCATACATCGACCGCTACACGCCGTTCCTTCAGACACCCATCTCCATGGTCCAGCGGTGGTGGCTCGGGTAGCAAGACATGAGGGACCTCATGTGTGCAGAGGTCTGTGGCAGAGAGGGACCTCATGACCTTCCCCGGTGATTTCAAACGGTTACGCTCGAAATTCGGAACTCAAAACACAAGATGTGGTTGTGCGCTTTATTTTCATGTTCGACTAGCTAGTAGGCGTGACCATGAGACGATTCGTCGACTTTGATGGGTGGATGGATCATCTAGCACCTCTGCTGTGCCGAGCTTTTGGGGGTGGTACCATCGACTTCGAGTGCCTTGAATGAATCACTGTCCATTCTGTCACATGTGTATAGCCCCTTTTCGGTTTATCCCCATTGTATGAGGGGTCTTTTGCACTTCACCACACACTTATATATGTATTGGCCTTTGGCCCTCCTGAGAATACAGTTGCTATTCCTCCAACATGGTATCAGATGTTAGGTTCCCCTCTCCCCCGCACGCTGCAACTCCGTGCTAGCCCCTCTTCCGATTCATCCACTGCCGGCTCCCCTCGCCGTAGATCCAGCCAACCCGGCTCTCCCCGCCGCGGACCTGACCACCCTCTTCGAGCCCGTGCCCACAGCCGCCCGTAGGCGTCGTCTCACGTCGCCCCCGCCTGCCGGCTACTCTGCCCGCGGCCGCTGCTACTGGCCCCGTGCCACGCCCGGCTGCCGTCGGCTCCTCGCACCGTCCGGCCGCCGCCGCCTACCAGCAGCGCCTGGCCGCCGCCGGAACTGCGCCCGGCCCGCCCGTCACCTCCTGACCTGCGCCCGGCCCGCGCCCCGCCGGCTCCTGGCTTGCGCCTCGTGCGCCCCGTCGCCCCCGTCCGGCTTGCTCTCTCCCTCTGGATCGAGGCCCCCTTGCCTCGCTCTGCTTCTGGATCGAGAGGCTCGTCTGCTCGCGGTTGGCCTCGCGTGCGCCTTGGCCCGATCTAGATCGGGTCCCTTCTGTCTGTTGACCAAAAAAAAGAGAGAGATAAAAAGGGGGACATCTCAGTATGTCCTCTTCAGGCTATCTGGCTGTTCCTTGATGCTCGGTGATCTTTGATGGCATCAACTATGCCGAGTTTGCAGGCTTCATGCGCATCCATATGCGTGGACTTCTTCTGTGGGGTGTTCTTTCTGGCGAGGTCCCCTGTCCGCCATGCCCTGTTGCGCCCGTGGCCCCAATCCCACCGGTGCCGCCGGTCCTTGCTGCTGAAGCTTCTCAGGCTGACCGGGATGCTGCCAAGGCTCTGGATGATGCTGCGGTTGAGGCTTATGATCAGCAGGTATCCGCTTATTCCGATGCTCTCTCTGTGTACCGGGATGATCTGTCTACTTACACTCAGTGGTGCAATGATGATGCTCGAGCTGCTGCTGTTCTCACTGCGAGTGTCCTCCCTCAGTTTGCTTCCGAGTTCATGGGACTTGGCACAGTTGCAGCGATGTGGTCTTATCTCTGTCAGCGCTATCAGCCCTCTGGTGATGCTCTCTACCTATCTGTGGTGCGTCAGGAGCACGCCCTTCAGCAAGGCGATTCTTTTGTTGATGAGTTCTATTCCCAGTGCTCTGCCATCTGGCGCCAGCTTGACTCTCTTCGGACAATTGTTTGTGGAACCTGTCGTTGCTGTCAGACTACTCGGTCTGTTCTGGAGTTTCAGCGGGTCCATGAGTTCTTATCTCGCCTCCGGTCCGAGTTTGAGCCTCGCCGTGCTCACTTGCTTGCTCGTGGTCGTGTTCCTATCTCAGAGATACTTGCTGAGCTTCGTGCTGAGGAGACCCGCCTTCGCTCTGCTGGGCTGCTTCTGGTTTCATCAGTACTGGCTGCTCGGGCTCCTGCCTCGTTTGCTCGCCTCACTGCTCAGCCGCTCCTACCTACTCCTCCAGGGGGGGTGAGCCGTCCTCCTTATGCTGAGAAGGGCACGTCGCGACGTGACACTGTCTGTGATTACTACTCCCGGCCAGGTCACCCAGAGCCTGATTGTCGTCAGAAGAAGCGAGACCAGAGGCGCTCCTCCTTCAGCAGGACTCCTGTGTCTTCCTCGACTCCGTCACTCACTGACCAGGACATTGTTCGCCTCAAGCGTCTCCTTGCTTCCTCAGGCTCCTCATCGACTGGCTCAGCTGCTGCTGTGACTGCATCCCCTTCCTCACCATCACCGGCATCTACACAGTCATGTACATCCTCGTGGATTCTAGATTCTGGAGCCTTCTTTCATATGTCTTCTGATTCTTCCGCGTTGTCTTCTCTCCGACCTCTTGATTCGCCTATTAATGTTCTTACTGCCGATGGCACATCTCTTCATGTTGCTAGTCGTGGTATTCTTTCCACTCCGTCCTTCTCTGTTCCGAGTGTTTCACATGTTCCTCGTCTTACCATGAATCTTTTTTCTGCTGTCGAACTTACTGATTCTGGTTGTCGTGTCATTCTTGATACCGACTCTTGCTCCATTCAGGATCGTCGCACCAAGACTTTGGTTGGTGCTGGCCCTCCCATGCTCCTTCCGCTGCCACCACTGGCTTTGTGTTCCTTCCGCTGCCACCACTTCTGCCAGCTCCCATGCTCTTGCTGCCTCTTCGTCTGCGTCCTTCCAGCAGTGGCATCATCGTCTTGGTCACATCTGTGGCTCTCGCTTGTCTTCCTTAGTTCGTCAGGGCCTCTCAGGGTCTGTATCTGGAGATGTCTCCTTACATTGTAATGGTTGCAGACTTGGCAAACAGACTCAGTTACCTTATCCTACTAGTGAGTCAGTATCTCAGCATCCGTTTGACTTAGTTCATTATGATGTCTGGGGTCCTGCTCCCTTTGATTCGAAAGGTGGTCATCGCTACTATGTTCTGTTTATTGATGATTTCTCTCGCTACACTTGGCTCTACTTCATGAAATCTCGTAGCAAGGTTCTCTCTATATACAAACGTTTTGCTGCCATGGTTCACACTCAGTTTGCCACGCCCATTCGTACTTTTCGTGCTGACTCTGCTGGAGAGTATATCTCTCAGCTGTTGCGTGGTTTTCTAGCGGAACAGGGTACTCTTGCCCAGTTCTCATGTCCTGGGGCTCATGCACAGAATGGCGTTGCCGAACGCAAGCATCATCATTTGCTCGAAACGGCTCGTGCGCTCATGATTGCTGCTTCCCTTCCACCCCATTTTTGGGCTGAGGCTGTTTCCGCATCCACCTATCTAATCAACATTCAGCCATCGACTGCTCTTCAGGGTGGCATTCTTATGGAGTGTCTCACTGGTCGCTCTCCTGACTACTCAGCTCTTCGTATGTTTGGATGTGTGTGCTATGTTCTTCTTGCCCCCCGAGAACGCACCAAACTGACTGCTCAATCGGTTGAGTGTGTTTTCCTTGGCTACAGTGATGAGCACAAGGGCTATCGATGTTGGGATCCTGTGGGTCGTCGCTTGTGCATCTCGCGTGATGTGACTTTTGACGAGTCTCGTTCTTACTACCCACGTTCTTCTTCCTCGAGTTTCTCTGTTGACGACCTTTCCTTCCTTCTTCTTCCCGATACGCCCCGCTACGTGCCTCCTGTGTCACCTCTTCCTCTGGCACCTCTCCTTCCTTCTCATTCACCACCGACCCCGTCTTCTCCCTCCTCCTTCTCCACCTCTCCACCATCATCTCCAGTCCGTCGTCCTCTCTCCCCATTTCCTCTCCACTATACTCGTCGCCCTCGTACTGAGGATGTCTCCTCTGACGAGCCTTCCACCTCTGCTGCACCTCTCACGCCTCCCCCGGTTCACAACCTCCGTGCTCGGCCTCGCCCTCCGCCTGATCGCTACTCCCCTGATCGGTACGGTCTCTCTGTTATTGCTGAGCCCACTTCCTATCGGACTGCCATGACTCAGCCTGAATGGCAACTTGCGATGGCCGAAGAGCTCGCTGCCCTTGAGCGCTCTGGCACATGGGATTTGGTTCCCCTTCCTTCCGGTGTCCGTCCCATCACCTGCAAGTGGGTCTACAAGATTAAGACTCGCTCCGATGGTTCCCTTGAGCGCTACAAAGCTCGTCTTGTGGCCCGTGGTTTTCAGCAGGAGCAGGGGCGCGATTATGATGAGACATTCGCTCCTGTGGCCCACATGACCACTGTTCGCACTCTTCTTGCTGTGGCTTCTGTTCGTCAGTGGTCCATCTCTCAACTTGATGTTCAGAATGCTTTTCTCAATGGTGAGTTGCGTGAGGAGGTTTATATGCAGCCACCACCGGGGTACTATGCCCCTGATGGTATGGTCTGTAGACTTCGCCGCTCCCTATATGGTCTCAAACAGGCCCCTCGCGCCTGGTTTGAGCGCTTTGCCTCTGTGGTAACTGCCGCTGGTTTCTTGCCCAGTAATCATGATCCAGCGTTGTTTGTTCATACATCTCCTCGTGGTCGGACTCTTCTCCTTCTTTATGTTGATGACATGATCATCACTGGTGACGACTCTGATTACATTGCCTTCGTTAAGGCTCGTCTTCGCGACCAGTTTCTCATGACTGATCTTGGTCCACTTCGCTATTTTCTTGGGATTGAGATCTCTTCGACTCCTGATGGCTTCTACATCTCCCAAGAAAAATATATTCAGGATCTTCTTGCTCGCGCTGCTCTCGGTGATGAGCGCATTGTTGTCACTCCCATGGAGCTCAATGTTCAGCTTCGTGCCTCTGATGGTGACCCTCTCCCTAATCCCACTCGCTATCGTCATCTTGTTGGCAGTCTTGTCTATCTTGCTGTTACGCGTCCTGACATCTCCTATCCTGTCCACATTCTGAGTCAGTTTGTCTCAACTCCCACCTCTGTCCACTATAGTCATCTCCTCCGTGTTCTACGATATCTTCGTGGCACGATCTCTCAGCGCCTTTTCTTTCCCCGCTCCAGCTCTCTTGAGCTCCAGGCCTACTCTGATGCTACCTGGGCTAGTGATCTCTCTGATCGACGCTCACTGTCTGCTTATTGTGTCTTTCTTGGTGGCTCTCTTATTGCCTGAAAGACAAAGAAACAGACTCAGTTGCTATTCCTCCAACATATTCATGCTGAGGCCCCTGACTCGATCGATTGATTTTGTGCTCAGTACTTCTGCTTTGTGACTTGTATTGTCTAATGTTGTGCTCAGACATTTGTTAGGATACCCACATTGGTAGAGTTCTATGGCCAACTATCACTGGTAGGAACAGAAATGCATGACCATCGTTGGTAGAGTTCTATGGCCAACCACTAAGTTGCAGTACATTAGAATACCCAAACCAAAATTTTGCACCTGCAGATTATTCGTCATTTTTCGCGAAAGGAACTAGCAGTTCAGCACTGCTGAAAAATTAAGGCCATCCATCCAAACAGATGTAGTAGTATGTGAACTAACAAAGTTGTCAGCTGGGAAATGCATAAATCTGGATTCAACGAACAAGCGATCGGCCAGCACAAACACTCGAAATTCCACATGGGAAAATGAGTCGATATTAATTATCTACAAATTTCGCTCGAAATTTATCTATCTTGGGCCATCTTGTTCGAATCCGCCAGTGTCAAGTAATAACCTGACCTTTACACTCAGCCTACCTTTGCACCCTTATTCCGGTCCCTGTTTGATTTAACAAAAATAACTTCTAGAAGAGGCTCTGAATTCAGCTCCTGTCTTCTTCTTCATTCAACGTCTTCCAGCCTTCGGCCGACGGTGTACCGATCGTCCTTGATAGAATCATGGAGCATGACACACAACGCCTTGGCCAGCCAGCAGAGCGTGCAGACACCGAGGCTGCCCGACCACGCAAAGCGGTAGGCCGTCGAGTTCATGTTGGCGGGGTAGCCCAGTCCAGGGAAGACGCCCCTGGCGAGAACGTAGGGGACACCCAGGGCGGCGAGCAGCGTAGCGACGACGGGCACGCATACGTCCTGAAAGAACCACCACATTGGCCTGAGCTCCGAGGAGAGATCTTCCTTCGCCTGGTTGAGTTTTGCCTTCCGCCTTTTGTCAATGAAGCACTTGATCCATAGTTGCTTAAAGATGCACCCCAGGAGCCAAGTGCGGAAAAAGCTCGTGGCTGGGAATTCATCGTCAGAACCGACGAAGAAGGGCGATATCATTGACAGATCGACCAGCAAACCGGTCAGGAGTGGAATGACGACGCTCTGGCAGCATTAGACACAATCAAGTTACTCAGCTGTAGCCTGAAACAGAAGAATATGTAAATGAGTAGTTTAAATTCCTCACCCATATGCAGACAAGCAGATGCCTTTGCAAAGCTAGAAGGCGTGTTTTCCCCGAAATCACGCGGGTAGATAAATCTCTACAGGCGGCGATGATGGTTGATATGATGCAGAGTCCAACAGTGATAGCAAACAGATCTACAGGAAAGAGAGTTGCACGAGTAAGCCCAGACAAGACAAACGATTTTACTTCCATTGCAAAAAAAAAAAGAAAGTCCAATGATCATCTCTGAACTGTTGCTTACCGTTGGACTTCAGTCCAACTGGCAGCTGAGGGACGGCAAACAGCAATGCATGCCCAACTGAGACTGGAAGCAAAAGCACAGCAGAATTCAATATCACAGCAGTCAACCATGCTAGGACCGCTCGCGGCATTGTTGGAACAGCAGCAAGTCTCCTGGTGCAATGTGCAAGAAGGGTAAATATCTGCCAAAGTTGCACGACCAACAGCTCCAGAATTGGACAGAACTTCAATTGATCGATTGGTAAAACAATAATAGCAGACTAGTATATCAACTAAAACATAGATAGATTAGGCGAAAACGAAACATTGCTTTTTTTCAGAGTTCAGAATAAAATTGACAGAACAATGATGCAACAAAGGTAGGCATTATTTGCTTCTCGAAGAGGCCTTTTCACATGATCCATAGCGCCCTTACAAAAGCCACGCCAGGCAGAAAAGCCTTATTTGGATCTCAGTGTCTCACTTATACAAGTTTGAGGATCCAAATATGCAATCTTCTACTTCTGGAACCTAAAACCTACTTGAACCACACTGCATGTTATACCTATGGACTATGTTGCAGTTTTACTAAAAATAAATTGGAAATATATAAGCACCAAATTGTCATAATGCCAAGGTGTCATCGCTTAATAAACTGACAGTGAGCAGAGACCCCAATTGCAAGTTTTTTATATAGTAAAATTTTAATAAAAATAAATAAAACATGGTGCACATGCCAAAACTGCTGTCCATCAACCAGAACGGAAGTACCCAAACAAACAGTGAACAACGAAACGATATTAAAGCAAAAGATGGATCAAATTTTAAAGTGAATGTAGTTATGTAGATTCAGTCAGGCTACAAAGGGTAAAATTAGTGCAGAGTCTGCAATTCCTGAATGAACGGAAGTGTCAGGGTTTACCAATCATCCTTAGCATCATTGCTGCTACCATACTGGTCTTTTGCCGCAACATTTTTCCCAAGAGGTTGTCCGGTAGTAACAAACCAACACCCCATTACCCTCTCCACCAGAGTCGCAAGGTACACGACTATTTTGCCAATGAGATACCTCATATGAATAACACCAGAAAGTGACTCTGTAAAGTTTAGTGGCCCTTGCCAAACTGATGTGCCCCTAGCAGGATGATCGAAGTAGCTACGATTCACAAATAGTAAAATTAATATTTTGAGTGACAAGCGGCAAATACATCAGATGGAGAACACAAACTGAATACTTACGGGATTTCTAGAGGGAACACCATTGGTGCCAATAGATCAACAATTTTGATAGGAACAGAAATGACCAGTACAATAAAGATAGTTTCGAGAAAAAGAACAACAAGCCTCTTGAGATAAAATGTGTAGAATGGTTGGGAAACAGTACCGCCGAGAAAGGGAGTGGCCACTCCTGGCCCCAATATCTACTCACAAGAAATACAACACGTGAACTCTATTCTGTGTCACTATATATTGACATGATGAGACCACATATATATAATATAATAAATACCTTGCGAAGAAATCTTGATAATCTGAGGCGTAGATTCAAAAAGGAGATTCCGATAAGCCAATGAAGGGCAGCAGAAGCAAAAGATGAAGCAATCAGCAATTTGAACCTCTGAGACATTGTTACACCAAACAATTCCGTAGTGCAGAGATCAAGCGACCAGCCGAAGAACAATGGGTCTATTATCCCATTGTTTAGCATATTAAGAGATTCATTGGCAAGAGTGGTTGAATTCGCGATCCCTCTGTAGAATATAGCATGCAGACTTCTACAGAAAACTGCAATCACAAGGCGCTTGCCTCTCAAGTAGAGATACAAAGTATGCGCCCCGGCAAAAGTTGCACCCACCTTTAACATAAGTCCATATCCAGTTAGAAGGGTGGAAGCTGTTGAGGTGTAACAATTGATATCATCCACATTGGAAACATCAAGACACGATCTCGACCATAGGATTATCCTTCCCAGAGAGAATGGGAGAAAACAAAGAATACAAGCAAGGGCCATGTCAACTATTACCACCTGATTAGACAAGTATACTGTTAGATCATTCTAGAAATAAGCTAGCAGAAGAAATTTGAGGCACTCATTCTCCAGAAAGACACAACTAAGCTACAAGTCTACAACCTTGTAGATAAAAAAGATTAACTTAAGAAGGTAATAAAAAGATAGTAAATTAGCATAGCAACTAAAGCACCAAAAGAACAAGCTTAGGCAGTTTTAGCGGTGCACCTGAAATAATAACCAGAAGAAATCAAACATCTATATATATTCGGGAGTAGTCCTCCCAACAGTGTATCAATCCTGACCAACGGACAGAAGCACAATTGCAGGGTAGGAAAAGAAGCAAAGAGTTGAACATTGTCATATTATTTTATAGAACAAACCATACTGATTTCTTCCAGGTATTCACAAAAAAAAAATCTTCCAAGTAACCATCATTTAAGATGATAGACTTTTAACAAAGGCCATATTGTGCGATGACCAACTGTAAATACAAAATCAGGAAAAACCATTGAAAGATGTGCTAAATTCTCAGGAGAGAACCGCATTACCGAAAAAGGGTTTCCCCCCGCTTTATAAATAAAGCACCAACACTTACATCCAAGTAACCGATACAAATGCACGCCACACAACCCAAGGCAAGAAACAAGAATGCCGGGCACCGACACACAACTTCAACGACTACCACAAGATGAGAGATCGTCCGGGAAGAAGTGCAACGGACCACGCCGGACCGACGATGCCTCCAAGAAGGGCACGACCACGGACCGTCGCCATCGTCCGATCCAAAGATCAGGTTTTTACCCGGAACACGACGGGAGGAGTGAGAGCACCACGACGGAGCCTACAGGGAGGAACACGACATCCGCGGACGCCGCCACCGTCGACCCGTGTACGGACAGGTAAGTGATGAACCCCGGTGCTCCACCCTACCGCTGCATCCCCGGTCGGCCAACCACCTGCAACCATGCCACCCAAGCGGCCGTGGTTGCACGCCCGCATCCGAGTCGCGCAGTCCGCCTACGACCGACGCGACTCCCACCGCCAGGGCCGCCGCCCCGCCACCGGAGCACCCCGAGAAGCCCCAAAGGTCACGTCTTGGACAAGATCCATGAGCCCAACCACCTCAGAACCGCCGGCGACCACAGCCTCAAGGGGAACCGATCCCAGATGGCCGGGGGAAGGGGGAGGAGGAGGAGCCCCCGAGGCCGAATGCCCAGATCCGCAAGAGAGCGCCGGCCACCGCCCGCTGCCGAGGAGGAGGGCGCACGGAACGGCCGAGCTGCATCCATGAGAGGCCACCGGGGAGGCCTTCCCGCGCCGAGCGCCGCCGTCCAGCCGCAGGAGCCCGGCTGGACAAGGGCCGCCCACCTCCACCGCTGCCGCGCCGCCCCGCCACCTGAGATCCACGGCGAGAAGGGCCGCCCGCGACCCGCAGCGCCAGACGAGGCGCCGAGGTGCTGCTGCGAAGCAGCCGCCACCGCCACCACCCGCCGGCCTGCACCACCACCATGCCGCCTGTCGCCCGATGCCACGCCGCCGTCGCTGGCCTACTCCAGAGCGCCGCCGCACCGCTACGCCCGGCACGAGCGCAGCATCCCCACCGGCGAGATCCGGCCCGCGCCGCACCCCCCGCGCAAGGAGACGAGATGGCCCCGCCGCCGCCGGCGACGACCGGGCTTCGCCCGCTCGTGCCCCTTGGCGGCGGCGAGGGAGGAGATAGAGAAGGGGAGGGTGGCGGCGGCGGCGCTAGGGTTGCCCCCCGGACGCCCGCAGGAGCGTCGCGGGAGGGGGGGGGGGGGCGAGAACCGCATTGAAAGGTGCTTTACTACGATATGAGAAGCTAGAACAATCTTATCATTCACCGAATAACGGTAGCATCAGAACAAATAAACAAATATAAGTAGCAGACATATGTAGGATATTGGTTGAGACTTGAGAAGCAGCAATCATACCACCAAGGAAACTTCGACAACAGACATGGCAAGGAATTGCAATCTCTCAAATAACCCAAGCTCCAGGCTTTGCATCTGAGCTAGCAGGCGTGCGACCCAGCGCGCAAATGGAGCTACGGCAAATGGCACAGCCAAGCGTGCAAACTGCAAGCAGAATGCAGCTGAAGCAGGGATGCAGGTCCATGAGGCCATGGATAGGCGCAGGGAGAGCAGATGGCGCGCCTGAGCAAAGTTGGTGGCGAGCGCGAGGCGCCACGTCCAGCGGGTGGTCAGCGGAACGACAAACTCCCGGACGACGCAGACGGCGAAGAAGAGGGGGAGCAGCAGCCCAATGAGCTTACTGGGCAGGCCCACCATGAGCTCGGAAACGGGCAGCCTCGCGGGGGCGTCCCCGGCGTAGAGAGGCCGGGTGGAGATGCGGCGTCTGCACACCTGCGACGATACAAAGAATGGTCGTGCGCGTCAGCGTCGGCATCACATCGAAATGGAAATGAAACTGGAAAAGGAATTCAGCACTAGCACAATCCATACAACAACAATAATGTCAGGAACGTATCAGAGTGCAGAGAGGGATCGGATATTTTCATCGGGGAATCATGGAGATTGGCAATGCAGCATCACATACACATATCATCTAGTAATTTTTACTGCTGAAATCTATGCTAATCAGGATGAATCTAGACGAGATTGAAAAAGAGAGAATGGATTAAGCGCGCGTATACCAGTACCACACCAACAATATGAAACGGAAGCCCTACCTACCGGGAAGGGGGTGGGGGTGGGGAGGAGAGAGACGATACCTCGCAGCGGGGGAGTTTGCGGCGGCGGGCGATCCACTGGAGCTGGCAGTCGTCGTGGACGAACCTCATGCTGCCGCGGCAGCCGCAGGGACGGCGCAGGGGGCGGTCCGCATCGGCGGGGAGGCGGCAGATGCGGCACTCCTCCTCCTCCTCCTTGTCGGCGTCGTGCCCGGGGTCGTCCGCCGGTGGGAGCGCCGTCGCCGGCGAAGGGGTGGCGGCCGCCGCCATTAGCCTTTCCTTGGGGAAGCTTCTGTGTAGGGCGGTGGGGGTGTGAGGGAGTGTGTAGGCCGGTGGAGGGCTTACGTCGGCCGTTGGATGCAGATCCAATGGCTGATCAAGTTGATTGAAGTTTATTAGTTATGCAAGTGGACATGTTCATCTAGGACGATTTATACCAGGATAATCACCAAACTGCCAGATGATTTATGGGAAACGTTTGGGGCCGGGGCACCGGCGGAAACATTGGACCGGTCTCCCTCTTCCTCGCGTCTCCTTCATGGGGCGCGCGGTAGCCCTCTTCTTCTGCCCCCTCCTCTCCACCCCTTCCCCATCCCTTCCCCTCTCCCCGAGCTGCGACTGGGCCACCACGAGCTACTTCGCCGGCGGTCAGGCTCCCCTTGCCGACTGCCATGGCTGCCTGCCGCCATGGCCAGATCCATCCCCTACCTCAA